GGCGATTTCAAAATGCATGATCTATTGTACTTAATATATTACCAAGGGCCAGTTGTAGAATACTCTTTAGCACTTTTTAACCACAATTTTGTAGGTAAATAGTAGTAACTTTGCAGTATGTAGGTTTACTTGATTAATCGACTATGCATTCTCTTATTCCCACATTTGAGTGTAAGATTTGTTGTCCGTCCAACCAAATACGTAGTTAACTTTCAAAGATCAAATTCCAAAGGTTCCGAGATTGGGTAAACTATATTCTTTTATTTTCGATGTTGTGCCGCGTCGTATGGTAGATACAGTATAACATGCTCGCACAAATTTGATCTAGAAATGCTTCTGCAAAAACATGGCTCGCTGCAATATTCACGTCTGACTCGCATGGGTGTCTTACGTGGCTTGGTGACTCGCACTAAAAATGGGACTAAAAAATGGCTAACTTATATAATTAACTTGTTAGTGAGTCTGTCACACTAAACCTAGAATCCTATACGGTGTGCGAATGCATTAGTTCGATTTGAAATATTCAATAAGGAATTGTCAATGACTCAAATTAGCTCAAAAAAAAAATTCGCCGCAATCACTAATCGTACGTAATCAAAGAATTTCAAAACCATACAAAATGACCGCATACATTGTATATTTAAAGTTCACCGGTGCTTAATTTGCATGCAGCCACGTTTAAACAAAGACTAATTTCAGAGCATGTTAACTAGATAGCTTATCAGTTATGGAATACGTACTTTATTACAAGTTGCATCATAAGCCCATCAAAAATCGCTTACGAAAGTATATAAACGCAGGGCTTATAGTCGGAGGCAGGGCGTAGTAAAACACTGTTTTACTTACTGTACATGTTTTACTACGCCCTGTCGGAGGCTTATGGTATAGTTTTCCAAGCCTATATTATTAAGGTTTTTTGCTAAAGCAACAAGAACATCCAGGCTTGAATTCAAAATTTTAAGCTCAATCCACACAATGGAATACTAGAAACTTATCCACCCTGAAAATCTAGTAAATTTGCACATTAGGATAGTAATATTCAAAACAAGGCAAAATGAGTTTTTATAAAATGCGTTATCAGTGAATTTGATATTGTGAATCTAATAATGAATGTTTATAAAGAATTCATAAACAACAGAGAAATACTATGGAGGACAGAAATTTTTAATGTCCATCATTCAATTCTAAAATATGGTATGCCATGAGCATGGATATTAGGATACTGCAAATTGCAAACTCTGATCATAAATTGCCATTTATTCCAAGACCTATATGGTTTTGCAGTTGTTCCTTACATCTTTATCTCAATGCTGATAACCTGCAACCAATTGTTAATTTAGAAGAAGCCATGCTTTTTGCTTAACCCATTGAGTGGCAGTACTCTCCCCCTGATGAGTAAAATCATCTGGTGTTAGACAGAGTAAAGTAATAAAGTAGGGTGTATCTGGGCACATTGCCACTTAAAGGGGTACGATTATCTTAATGATCTCAACTTTTACCCTTGCTCTCTAACCATAAGAGAGAAAAAAGATCTACACTCTTTGCACAGAGGAAATTTCTACCATTTAGAGAAGGGGTTTGTGGGTTTTTGTGATAACCCTGTCATTAAATATTAATCTAAATTGTAGTCTGTGATAAAGCCGCCATAGTCATTAATATACAATATGACATAAACTTTTATTTAAAATTGTCAGCCATAAGAGTTCAACATCAGCTGAGCCATAAAATCTTGTGAATCTGTACATATGAAAATATTAAAAATTTTATTTTTCTCCATATAGATTGATTGATTGATATGTTAATATTCATAAAAGCTTACAAATATAATTATTAATTGTGTTCATAATATTTTTTAGCTGAAAGGAAAGAAATGAATGAATATGGTCAGGTTGATGGACAATGGAATCTGAAGTATATTACATGTATTTCTATTTACAATATTTTGTGTTTGTAGTTGAAAATTGAATTTGATTATTCTTCCACTCCTTATTCAACACTAAGGAATATTCAAGCAGGGTGCAATAAAACACCCTTGTCTAATTCCATGCAATTTGCTAAGTATAGTTCAGAAAAACATGATTCAAAAATTCTATTACTGTAGACTTTATCTGTTGGATTTCCACAAAATCCTACAAATGATGATATTTGGAGTTTATTCAATTCCTTTGACTTTTGTCCTTTACTAGTAGATTTTTTATCATATTGATGATCTTTGTTTATAAGCTTTCAGTTGTAGTTGTGATGATTTGCTGTTTTCACTTCAAAAACATTGCAACAATTCATTGTAATAATATCACAGAACCACACGAGAAGTGTCACTATCTTCATGTTTGAGCAATCTATGCCAAATTTTACATAGGTATGGATCTTCCCTCCCTCAAAAATGTCAAACATTTTTTAATTTGTCTGAACATGTGTCAAGGCCATCTGTAACAGTTCTTTGTAATATTGTGAAGATATATGAACACTTCTAAGACTTCTGGAATTGGGAAACTGGAATTGAACCAAGTTTTCATGCCCCAAGCATTGAATTAATGACAGTGTGAAATGCTTATCCACTTATAGCTGAACACTGTTTGTTTTTGATAACTAAGGGTACTTGAGGTACATTATTAAATAAATCTCTTTTCCACCTGTAAAATAAGCAGCAATAATTCGGCATATTTTCACGTTCACTACCTACAATGAAAGAGCTGGATGAGCAATAAGTTGTAAGGTTTGCAGGCAAATTTAAAAGTGCAGTGCTTTCATTTAAATCACGTGAATCTAAAACTACAGAACTCCAAATATGATGTAAAACATGATTTAAAAGAATGTTTGTCCCATTACTGGCGTAAGCCATGCACCAATTATTATTAATTGAATAATTATTGTGTATAGTTGTTACATGTCTTTCAAGATTTATCATTATGTTTAAACACATGATCTTCTTAATACTTTGATAACAAACATGGAAGAGAAGTTTTAATTTTTTTCAAAGAGTCAGCAACGACGTTGACGTGTGCCCAGTGCAGTGAGATAACATTATTGAGAACCTTGCGAAAGTTGACCTTTAAATTTAGAATATATTATCCAGTTTAAGTTTTATGGAATTACATAATCACGTTATTATAATATATAATAACGTGATTATATACCATCGATGATACTACTTATATGAGAGAGCAAGTCAAAAAGACGCGGTAATATTAAATACAATACGATTTGTATATTACTAATATACAGACTGTCAAATACGACTGTAATCCGCATCTAAAAGCATTTATTTCATGTATACAAAAACGACTGTGTATAAAAGCATTAATAATTCCTGGTTTCTACTATTGTTCTATTGTTTGGTATATGAAGGCAGTAAAACAAACTCGATAAGGTCATAAGATTATAAAATTCAAAAGAAGGCCGCGCGAGTAATTACTGGTTACTTGTATAATGTACGATCAAATGAGATATTTCAAAACCTCATTTGGCTACTGATTCACAAACGTTTGTTAATTAGAGGAAATATAGTCAATACATTTATATATAGTGTTATGATAGTGCTGAATCTCCTCCATTTCATTCTCTACAACAATGCTACCACTGGGCGCTTCCTCCATCAGTTGGTGTGTATGAATATGTGGCAGGGAAAACAGGATTTATTGGTAAATTAAAACAGCTACAATCAGTTGGCTGACTATCTGGTTCACATGGTGGGATTGCTTGGGATGTTGGTGATGTTGAAATGGCAAACTCCCAACAACATAACATTGTTATATTCTTCGTTTATACCTCCTTCCCGTGGATCATTAGGGTCGAAGAACTACGTCATATGAAATAAAAATACGTTTAATAGTAATACTACTGTATTAGAACATAGGAGCATTTTTCTATTTCTATTTTTATTTAATATAAAAATCATCTCACCTTAAAACACACAATTAGAGTGAATTTGTACCAGTGCAGGACTATACCGCAATCAGCGAACAATTTCATCAATTTTTATCCCGTTAACCACAGCTGGACAAAGGACTATTCTTCGAACTATCCGTACAATTATAAACATGAACCTCACGACATTCGAATTCATCACACGGTAATCCTTCCGAAATTAAGATTAAAGACTATTTTGACACACAGTGAACACACAGAAGCTCGTGTCCACCCAAAAACGAAGCTTTCTTTCCATGCAAAGTGCAAAATTCACCATTTTACATTTTTTTTTCTATAAATCTTCTCTGAATCTCTCGAAACCTCGAGGTGTAAACACAGCGAAAGCCGACCGAACAATGACGGCGCAGAGCGAGAAATCGATAATATGTAAAAAACCGCGCCTGACCGCGTTATTAATCCAAATTACTTACCAGACAAGAGATTCAAGAGAACGGGACAGTTGCCCGTGCAAGCTCAACCAAAATCTCGAGGAGGTTCAGTGGATCCAGCTGTATTACGTCATACATACGGTAAATAAAATGGTTAACTACAAGCGTACAAGAGGAAATATTTATTCGCTACGACGCAGAATACGGCAAAAGGATGTTGCTGTCGGTGCTGGAATAGCTCTCGGTTTGGCTTTACCTATGATATTAGGTGCTGCCGGTAAAATATTACCAGGCATTCTGGTAAAAGAAAACAGCAGACAACACACAATAACTATGGCACGCCACAGCCACGATATCAGCCGCAACCACGATATTACCAGCCACAACCGCAGCAACCACGATATTATCAACCGCGACCACAGCAGCCACGTTATTATCAACCGCGACAACAGCAGGCATGTTATTATCGAGCGCGACCAGCACAGCAACAGAGAAAAAGATTACAAACTAACAGTAGAAAATGTTAAATTAGTAGTTAAAATTTGTATATATATATATATATATATATATATATATATATATATATATATATATATATATATATATATATAAATATTAAACATTACTCTGAAAAAAAATATTGCGTGGTGTTATAAGCGACCGCTCTCTAAACAAATCGCATCATTCGCAACTAGAATCACGATGAGTAAACGTTCGGCCAACGATATGGAGGCTATGAAGCCTTTTGAACAACACGATAGTGGGTTTATGGCCCCTATGGTAATGTTTCCAACATTTCCCCACAACGATACGTTTATCGATAACCGGATACTCACTGTTCACGCAACGCCTGTGGACAATCAGGCGGAGGTGTACACATTTATACACCATAAACAAGAATATGAAATCATGAATATCGAAGATACATTTTACCCTTGCGTATGTCGTGGAAAACAAGGGAAATTTATATAAATAATCAATTGATCAATACCGTAACCTCTCGAAAACGAGCTTGCCTACCTTGATCATTTGCTCCGAGAAGTCCCGTCAGGTTATTTACCCGCTAAAGATATCACCCTTTGTGTCCACGACACTCCTGGTCAATTTGATTCCATTGCACATCTCCAAGATGGTGCAGATGGCTGGCTCAATCTTGGTGCGCGGGAGAGATATTTGGCGTGTAGTAGAACTACAGCCCTGGAATGTTATGATCACATTGATCTAATGGGTCTTAATAAGCGCTATGTACCCTCATCGTACGAGTTGAAAGTAGTTTTGCAAAAACAAAAGTTTTGTTTGGTAATGCCGGTCATTGTGCGCTTTTAGATGTACGTTTTGACGATTTGAAAATTACTGTCCCTGCCATGAAGCCAAAATTGCAGTTAATTAATCAAGCTATGATTCAAAATGGTGAAGAGGGAAAATATTATGTGATTACCCATCGTTACGTTCCCACACCACTGGCTAACGGCTCACAACGTATACTTTTAAAAGACATTTTTACTGGTTCACGACCAACAAGGGTCATAACGTATCTGAAAACACAGGATCGTTACAATGGCGCACACACCCTCATCCAAACCTGATTGCAATTCCGGTTTTGGAATTTTTTGGAATAAAAATCAACAAAGCATTTGTACAACCGCTTGTACACAACTCTCGTGAGGCATATTTAAATTTACAACGTATTTTAAATCGTCGTTATGATGAAATGCCTTTTTCACACACTGATTACCGTACAAGTCACGGTATAATTGTAACTGACCTATTGCCAAATAAGGATAGTTACAATCAGGTTTTATCCAATTCTACCAGTGGTGTGGTAAGTTTAGAAATGAAGTTAGCTAACCCTTTGGGCGCACAACGCCAACTTATTAATGTTGGAGAATTTCGTAATCAGCTTAGTGTTGGTTATCAATCTCAGGCTCGTCTAAAATATGACTTTTAAAATGGACATTTTAACCTGCAGTTAAATTAAGAACAATTTTAATTACGTTACATTTATATACACAATGCCTTGTGAGCGACAACATAAAAAACGTGGTGCGGCAAAAAAACACTTGTAAAGCAAAAATAAACGTCGTAAAAGCTCCTTTTTCTCGTACACCCAGTGTTATTGGTCCTGGCGGTATAGCAGTGCAAACAATTCACGTACATCCCGTTGTTTCAAAATATGAATGAGGATAATAACAATATAACCGGCGATAAACGCGAACAAAACTGTGATACGAGTGAGGAGGGAAAAAATGTGAACAGAGCAATGATTCTATCGATGATTTGGAACAGGAAGAGGAAGTACAAGATAATGATGAATACACTAATGACCAACCGGAAGAAGAAGAAAATTACGACGATGAATTTATGTATTATGAGAACCCTGTAGATAACGATATTATCGAACCGAATAATGCGGAGGAGGTAGAGATTAACGAAGACGATGACGACGCGTATATTGACGATGAAACATGTCGCGTTTTTTTACAACAACTATTGGAGGCAAGACAATTAAGTGCCGCCGAACGTAAGCAGAATGCGTTTATTCCTTCCACAAAAAAATTCCTAAACCTAAGTTTCGAAGAACGAACAAAGAGACTAACAATAACTGTAACTAGAAATTTATTATATCTATGTGAAAATATTGTAAATATTTAAAAAACCTGTGAAAAATATATCATGCGCTGAAATGGGTTTAATGCGCAACATTATCGATACGTCTACGTCAAAGAAGGACATACGATTGCATCTGTTAGAGAATTGAGGACTACACTTTTACCTTCGCGAGGCGGTAGAAGCTGTGGAGCAAGAGAATGGGGGACAACGTAAGACGCCTAACACTAATCGACGCGGAAAAGTATAACAGTCTTATGAGACTTTTAGAACAGGCTACGAAACGTCAAAAAATGTTAGACGATTCAAAACAAACACAGGCTGAAGCGGAACTTGTAGATAGTCATGCCGATATGTTAAACAGTGTAAAAAATAAATCTTCTTTGGGCGGTTCAGACATTGTGAATTATATGCGTAAGAAAGATAAATATCAGGCCGAGGTTGCAGCGAGGGCGTTACCACAACAACAAGAAACCGACCCCCACCCCCAACCCAACGCTCGACAGCTTCCACGGTAGGATCAGTGGCTTATCATGAAAAAAAATAAACGATCATTTAAAACTGACGGGTATTGTATCAACAGTCAAGGGTATAATGTTTGGTGCAAAAACTTTCAATATTTCATATGAGGACATGATAGAGGACTTAACACACAACTATAAACAAACAAACGCAAATTTAACGGAAGCGCAGCAAAACAAAGTAAAAGTTTCATCATATGGAAATATATTTGTTCGCACACGTGTATTAGCGAATCCTATGGGTGAACCATCAAAAAGCAAATAGCCGTATTGTTTTTTACCGATGTCTGTTAGAATTTTATGTAGTACCGCTGTGGATATTTTTTGTTTGATGCAATCATTTCTACATCTCTAGAGTCGGTTATAATTAGACCTTTAAACATTGTATGGTATTGACTATTTACCGTACGGCAATTACGTAGTTTTCCCGAGCCAAAATTTAGATTCTGACATACAAGGTGTTTGTGGTATTTGAGTGATGGCTGTCGCGCGAGGCTATGTTGTTTAAGTTTTCAAGATTGGTTTTGTTTGATGCTGAAATCACCATTAAGTCGTCCAAAACTAAAAGTGTTGCTTTGCCCAGCTTTGGTTTTAGTTCCTCCATGGGCGGTATTCCATTGTTACAGTCAAGAAACTCGCACGTTTGTAATGTCGACGTAGTGGCGTTGTCACGTATGTGTTTTTTGATTTCGTCGTATCCCGTCTGTTCTACTGAGTACAAGTATATTAATTTGTCAGGTGGGGTTCGATAAGTATCTGGTTGTGCTTTATTATGTTGATAATGTAACGTGTTTTTCCACTTTGTGATGGATCACAAATCGTCATCATGAATGTGTTGAAATAGTAATGTACATGTTTTCAATGTGTTACCCTATGAAAAGAGAGAGAAGATGAGTGGGCAAGAAAATGCAAAAAACTAAGCAAGAATAAAAACTGGAAGAAAAGAAAGACGAGCATCCTAAACTGGAATTGGTACCAAAGAAACTGTAAAAAAGAACAACAAGAACCGGATGACCGTTAATGCAGGCACAGCTGGAGAACAATGAGTCCAAATTTGTCAGTCAGTCAGTAAAAGCAGGAAATCATCAACATCATCGACATCAGAAGCTTGATGAAAAAGAATACAACAAAGAAAAAACCCAAAAAAACACCAGGTCCAACCCATTATAAAGGCCCAAGAGACACGTACTCAATGCTGAAGGGAGATGAGTATAAAGAGAATGTTGTCACAAGTAGCTATCAGACAAAATTCAATCTGGAAGAGAAATTGGAGAAATTAGCCGCGATTTTCTGGTGTGGTTAAGCAGGATGGTTGGAAACGCGTGCATTGTTGGAAAAAACAGAATAAAAGGAAAACAATCCTAGTTGATAAAAACCCTTATGAGAACATCGATCAACGCTAATGACAGAAAGTTAATACCAGCACGAGAGACATTGGGATTTACGGTATGGCGGTATTAGCTTATTTCTTCGTAAAAAATGACGAAGGTGTTATAAGTTTGATTAAGCTGTTGAGGTTGATTGATTGACGGTATGGATGAAAGAAGCTGGAAAGGACACAAAAACGAAAGGTGTTGTTCTGTTGGTGAATATAGATCAAGCGATTAAGAAGAAAACAAAAGATGACACGTCAGCAAGAAGAAAATCCATCAAAAGCTCCCAAGGTTGCACAAGCAATCACGACCGAAATTATAGAGAAGAAAAAGGAAGAAGGGAGATGAAGAGAAACAAAATAGGCCGTTTGGCTGTCAACTTTCCCATCGATAACATTTTTTGTGGAAACAACCACGACCAAAATAGAACATTGAACCGGAAACTGGAAAGAGGACGGCATAAGAAAAAGAATTTATCAAGTAATCCGTCAAGTGTTAGAAGGGCTGAGAGCACTACATGTTAGAGAGTGGAGGATGACCATCATCATTATCATCGTTATCGCATTAGCCTTTTTTGTGCGCCACCACTTTTTTATTTTATATAACCATAGGGTAATGTTTTGTAGTCATCGCATACTATGCGTTTATCGAAAGTGAAACGAAACGTTTTCACAGCTTTTTGCACGTTTATGGTTCGGCTGTTTGCCCGCATAAATTCCGTGTAATTGCTATGAATCACTTTTTTTATCTACTATGCATTTTGTCATAGTGTCAAATGTTATTTTTCTTTTCGTATCGCCTTTCAACGAGAAACCCTTAACGTGTACAATTTCATCGCGTTGTTTTGTTTTACTACCGTCATCATTAACTCGCGTGTATTCGTTTGTGCGGTATGAGTATGATTTAGGACCTGTTGTACAAAATTGTTCGATCCATTTTTCACTACAGCTTTTTCCAGATAATTCATCAGTCATTTCTCCCAAATATTGACCCGTTTCTACGGTATAATCCTTGTATTTATCGTCAACATATATTACAGAATCTGTATCAAAATACAATACGCTTTCGCCAAGTTTGTTTAGTACTTCAAACAATTCTAATCGTGCATATGCTGTAACAAATGATGCAATAATTACATTTCTATTGGCTAGCGGTATTAAAAATGCCCCCTTCCCATGTGTTGTTCTAGCAATATTATCACTAATAAAATCTAACGAGGTTACATCGATACTGTCTTTCACCATTTCTAACAAATCGTCTAGACTGTCCACAAACGACACTACTGTGGTGTCCTCGTTTTGTGCTAGTTTACCCCATGAAGAGTTTAGTAAGGCCTTCATGACAGTTCTTTGTCCGGGGTTATGACATATTTTATTTGCCTCTAATTGTGTGTTTTCATGTTGTAAATAATCGTTAATGTACATATTTAGTTTTTCGTCTACAACGTTACCCTCCTTGTCAAAACAATGTTTGGGAATAGCGCTACTTTCCTGCTTAAGCTTCATGAAGGCGTCAACATATGTATCAAATGTTTTTTTGTCTGTTGTCATAGTGATAAATCTCATACACTACTAGTATTACATACCCGTGCCGTATAGCCTTTTGCACCTCAACACTGGTCCACGTTCCGTACAATGCTCGCTCTTCATCGTCGTGTTCACAAGATTCGCTAAGTTTTTCAACACAGGTTCGACATAAGGGAAATGTTAATTTATCTGTGCGACATGGTAAAACAGGAAATAGTAATTTTTTGGTGGAAGAATTTTACATATAATAAGTCAACATCGCGACAATTGGTTACCCCACGAATAATCTGGGGGTGTTGTAAGGATATTCATATTTTTCATGGTATTAAAAATGCATTGGGTACAGCGCTCTAACCAACTGACCTACAGACGCCAATTGTCAAGCTCTAACCACAGTCATGTATATATATATATATACCAGGGTACTTCCATGTCAGTATTGGTTGTGGGTAAATATAAAGATTTCGTTGGCGTAACACTCGATTGAATAACAGTTGAAGGGTTCTTGTAGATGGAAATTATCAAGTAAATGTATATAAATTTCATGCACTCGATAAATTATATCTAAAAAACCCTTTAACTACTAGTATTCAATCACGTGTGATGCAACCAAAGTACTGTATTAGCATTATATATACTCATAATTATTAAACAATTGTCGTAAAATTTGTCACATTTGTACAAGATGTTTGTGTACCGGGTGTCCCAAAAAAAAGTACTCCGGTTTGATTCGTAATAACTTCTAAACAAGTAAAGCTTTTAAAGATAAATTACTTGCATCAAATAGAGGAAGGACTAACTTAGATTTTGATATATTACAGTTGTATTTCACTTAGAAATTCACGGAGATATTAATATTTAAAATCGGGAGCATATTTCTGGATGTGTCTGAAATATGCAAAACACGGCGTATCAAATATTAATCAAGAATTGCCCGACTGAAACATGCACGATTACCAGTAAATAAATGACACTTAACAAATTGTTTATTATGAAACAAATTATTATTATCTACAAAATACAAGCAAGATTTATTCGTCCGAAATCCGCGTGTGTTCCTAGTACGAATACGTTTCCTTATTTCAAGAGACCACTGCATCGCGAACGATTGTCATGGATCGTTCGTAGTTCTGAATTAGGGCATGCTGTCACAATCGAATTGTGAAGCTCTTCTAACTTTTGCAACGTTCTGAAATCATGTAAAGAACACTCAAACTCTTTTGCCTTTTCTTAATCATTTTAAGTTCAGAATAAACTGAGAATGAAACACAATCAAACCATACAACTCGATAAGACATAACAAGCATGCAACTCTCCAGAGACATCCGACATTTTTAGAACAAAATGTAACAATATAGTAGCGTCGATACTGTCAGTGACGTGTATTTGCAAAAAGCAATATTATTTCCTTCATTGCAGAATAATATTCATCCTGCTCTAATCGAGAAATAATCAACTCTGTTTTGAATCCATGAAAACATTAAAAATTAGGCTATTTAAGAAATTTTAAAATTGAAGCGCCTACCGTGCATGGTCTTTCATGTACCTTATAAGTTTGTAAAGACCTATTAAATACTTGCATTATTTCGTACGTTCATATTTCAGGAAACAATGAGCTAAGACTTACATGTAAGATGTCTAAATCTATGCCATATCACTTACAAAACCTAACGACAATTCGCTGAAATACAAGTTAGCCTGATATGTCATCAAGCAAACAAACGCTGAAGTTAATTTTTGATATGCCGATTTTCGCTAATTTTAGACACATGCAAAAATATGCTCCCGATTTTGAACATTAATATCTGCGTGAATTGTTAAGTAAAATACAACTTTAATATATCAAAATCTAAGTTAGTCCTTCCTCTATTTAATGCAAGTTATTTCTGTTTGATAGCTTTACTTGTTTAGAAGTTATTACAAGTCAAACCGGAGTACTTTTTTTCGGGACACCCGGTACAGCTATAAGCCCACTCCACAGTAGAGCTGGGTGTTATATTGATGCGATGTCTAGCTGTGGTACAATGTAAGTCGTTGACGAGTCAATAAATTTCATAGTTATAAAAACATAATTCGCATTGTGAATTCTCGCAAAAATTGTCCCTCTGACACCGCATTTAGCATTTTTCGCGCTTGTGTTATTATAACAAATGTCTACTTGCGATCTAATGGACATATTTCTGGAAAATTTGCCCAATAAACCAGACTGACTTTCCTGACAAACCTTGCTGTATTAACCCCTGAACATGTTTTCCTGCCAATTTTGGCAAGCTATAATTTCAGCGCAGATAATGTCTCTTCCGACTAGCAGTGACCCCGACTATAGCTAGGATCGAAACAGCCCTAACAGAAGTAACTGTTTATAAAGGTTTGACTTTATTTAATTCAAATTCTTAATACGTACGTAATAACAAGTAGTAAATCATTGGGTAAAAGGCGGAAAGGAAGATAAAATAAATCACACCCAAAATGAAACTACACAATCTTTATTCACTTGCTCAATAACTCTAGCTATAAAATACAATATCATGCATACAAAATGAGCTCTCGAACTCATCATAAACACAACAATCACGCTCCCTTTAAATAGGTCATGAAACGATTACAATGTAATCCATAAATGTCATAAACGATTGATACAAGTTCCATTCTCACTAGTTTTAGTTCAGCATCTTTTTCTGTCCTGCATCCATCTACTGATTGAAGACAGCTTTACAACCAACAGTAATTGTATCCATTTCCCCCCCTATCACGTCATGGGTTATTGGTAGGCATTTAACTTTGTTTTCTAATTTTAAATCTGCAACCTTTGAATTTTTCTTCTTGAGCTCACATTTCCCCGTTTTGTGCCATATTACTAGATTTTTCATTTCGAGCATTTCGCTTCCTTTTTTGGCAGGTCCTCGTAGTACTATCTTTTCCCAATCTCCTGAACCTTGGTGACACATATCTTCGGCACGTGCATAATTACGCTTTGTCAGTTCAAGATCGCTGTTAAAAGATAGAGGCATAGAATGATAAATATAGTGACTTTGATTGATCCACATATTGTATCATAACTGTTGACACTGATTTTTAGTCTTCAATTAACAAGTATTGTAAAATATTTTCCGTGTGGATATACAGTTACATCAACAGGAGTGAAAATTGGGAAAACGAGAAATTCACCCAATTTCAAGTTTTCCCAATTTCCACGAGTGTCCATATAACTGCATATATCAATCCCGAAAAATGTTTTATATTCAAAGAGCAGCGGGAAGTTTTCCATGTTCTTAGCCAATCACGTTCAGAATTTAAAAATGCTATATTATAATACATGAATGAGTCATGCTTTGGAAATGACAATAAATTTTCATTACCCAACACTGGAGTTGTTTAGTTTGTCATCCATTCAACATTTTTCAAACTAAACATTTTGCTTACCAACCCTCTTCTCTTCAGTGCCACTCCCTGTCATCAGGGACGTCCCTACCGTAGTGGGTGTACATCCTATTCCAATAAATTTAAACTTCAGAAAATAGGCCAAAATGGGAAAGATTTGGTGAAAATAGGTAGTCAATTTGTAAACGAAATTAGAACAGAATTAATTTGTTTTGCGGAAATTGAGCAAAAAAATTAAGGATAAATTGAATACATTCAGGAGCAAAAATTATTGAAACAACCGCGTAAATGCCCGCCTCAACCCCAATTAAATGTTGTGTGAATGACGTGGGGGCAGGGGGAAGGCCGACGTATACTTTAAAATAAGAAAAGTCTCACACCCCTCGCAGCCAACAATTTTGGGAAAATAATTTTAATCAGTGGCTGAGATGACCTGAGTTGTTCAAAAGTCCGCCAGGAGTTGGATAAAATATCACCCCCCCCCCCTCCCAATGTAAATAACTTCGCGACGTCCTTGCCTACCATAAATAATGACTTAAAGAACAGGGCCGTAGCGAGGGGGGTATTGGGAAGGGTGGTTAACCCCCAACATTTTTAGAATTAATATATTCGGAAAATCGGGTTGGACATTCGGAAAATTACGACAATAATAGTTTAACAAAATTTAAGTTGTTAAACATCTGGAGAACATTTTATAGAATTGTATTGTCAGTATAAATTGTAAACTTTCGACATACTAAACGTTGTCTTCTGACCATCAGAATTCTGTCAAATCTTGGCAGTGGCATTTCAGAGACTCAAAATTTAAAAATTTCCTTGGGCCTTCGGCCCTCCTTTTCGGCCCTCTCCCCCAATCAAAAAGAGCTTCTTACGGCACTGCCTTCGTGCCTTCGTATGCCATGAAAGATTCGGAAATGTTTTTCGTCATTGGGAAATTTTTGCCTGATAACCCCCAACTATACATGCTAGCTACGGCCCTGCTAAAATAATTTATGCATCCGACCCCTGAGCAATGCAGAGGCTACAGTTGAGTCACAGCAACTGATCAACCTATGCAAATGTTTAATTATAAACTATAGCTAGGCAAGTTTTCAATTATATATAAAATATAAAATTTTATGAATGCAGTTATAAATACGAATACATTGATGGAAAGAATGTAAAATGCTATAATATAAAACAATGGAAACTCCGAAAATGACGTATTTTTTATTCAATATTTCAGTTCATAATCTTTAGCCATTATCAATGAAATTTAATTCGAAATGTTGAATTAAAAATATCAAAGCTCCGTTGTATTGTGTTGTATTAAAATACCATTAATTATGGTAAAATAGTAAATGTACAAAATGTAAACACAATTTTATGCTGCCGCAGAAATAATATTTTCGACAAAGAGTTGTACATCAGCCTTAGCCCAACAGCCAAACGTAACCATACGCCGAATCTAACGCCCGTATTCTAAAAGCTCACACACGCTCACACTCAAACAGTGGAGGATCAATCTGAGATCCCTGTATTAGTGTCGTTTTTGAGTAGGTGCAGCACTGCAGATTTAGGCCTGGATTCGAAAAGCTCACTCACGCTCACACTCAAACACAGGGAGCAGAGGAGTCGAGTTTATCTGGTAAAACAAGACAAACACGGTCTTTACCTTGTTAATTGTAGTATATTTCATTGTAGACTCTCAATGTGTGCATTAAAAATGCATATTTATTCATCAAAATTATAGAATATAAAACCAAAATATGAATTTCAACATTAATATACTCCGCTGCCTTAAATTACCGTTGACTCGTATATTCCGAAAAGCTAACGAACACTGGCCGAGAGAGCAATGAATAAGAAACGAAGAATGGGAGGAAACATTGCACATTTTCCGTCACTTGTGCACCGCAACACCCTATGACGGAACTGAATAAAACCCGGCCATTACCCAATGACGAAGTAGAACTTCATTTGACAGTTATAATTAGTATTCCAAAAATTTAAATCAATCATGCATCAACACGAAACCATACGTCACTTCCGTCATAGGGTGTTGCGGTGCACATTGTACGAAAATAATCGATGAATATCGGTCGTCAAATATATAGGTTAAACGATCGTTTATTGAAATTTATTTCCTGACGTAGTAAGAATAGATAACGTCTTGATTGTAAACAAAAAATTATGGGTTTTTTTATGAAATATTAAGCAAGTTATATATCACCCCAATGACTGTTTCCTCCCTTTCTTCGTTTCCTATTGTTAGTCTAAGTGTAGCGAAATGTGAGACCACTATAATCTAGAACAGCGGAGTGTATTCATTTGGTATTCATGTTACTTCAAGTACGAATAAAAAGTTATACAATGTTTATAAACTTTATACGGTTTCACGTTCTACAATGAAAGATTTTGCAATTAATTAACAAGGTAAGACGGCGATTGTCTTGTTTTACTAGACAAACTCGACTCCTAGCTCGGCTCCCTGTGACTCAAAGGGTGGAGGGTCAAACTTAGTTCTCCTTGAGTGTCAGTCGTCAGCGCTGTTTTTGAATGGCTGAATTTTTTAATCGTACCGTACTATGTCACTACTCATTGTCCAGCTATTCAAAAACAGCATTGAGACTCAAGGGAAGCTCAGATTGAACCATCACTCATTGAGTATGAGTGTGAGCGAGCTTTTAACATGCAGGCGTAACCCTGCAGCTATTCAAAAACTACACTGACATTCAAGCGAAACTCACATTGAACCTCCACTTTTTGAGTGTGAGTGAGCTCAACATTGTTTGAGCACATAATGTACATTTTGTTCGGCGCATAAAAAAAATTGATGTTTGAAGTCGGCCTTAAAAGCCACTGCAGGCAAGCAAGTTTACATTATTATACTAGACTTAAGCAATTTTAAAATACCTGTAATCATCCCAAATGAAATTGTCGAGTTTTCGTGCATCTGCAAAGATAACGCATCCAACAACAAGTAGAAACACCTATAAATATAAACAAAAACATTTTAAGTGATAAACAATTTTTGAATTTTTGAAATAACTTCGAATTCCAGTTATATACAATATACATTCCAGGATATACAATATACAATGACATGTATACAATACTTCAGAAGCAAAATTAACAAGGACCTTGTTCCGTTGATAGGTAGTTTCCTACTTCCTTGTGTGTGAATTGCGCACGGCAAACTCAAAAGGCGAAATGCATGCGATAAGTTGAATTTTTTGGCTTTGAATCTCTGACTAGTAAACATAGTTACATACTCCTTTTACGTTCTTAGCATTTTCCTCGTCATTTTATGTGCTTTTGATTTTTACGAGATTGCATTAATTGAAACACGAATTATGTGTCACTAATTATTTTGTTTTAGCAATTTAGACAAACATATTACACATGCATTCGCTAATTTGGAAAAAGAAATTCATTAGACTGCAAATTGCATGTACAAGCTATATATGACATTTTGCTACACGATATACAATTAGGACTTAAATTGGAAATAAAAAAATATTTTCGTCATAACTGATAACAAATTTTAGAAAGTTAAGTTACGGTCTATACCTTGAACATCGCTTTTACCGTATTATGGATGGTTTGCAATACATATTCTTCTGTCTTCTACAACTGGATTCAATAGCAGCCTCTGACAACGATTAACTAAGTGTGCACGAGTTGCCCTTTTTATATGTTCAGCACCCATACTAATAGAGATTCAAGGTGGGTGCAGCTGCAGACGCTGCATAGATCCTTAAAGTACTACAAAAGGTGGGTGAAACGGAATTATGTGACGAATGGATGTTCAGCATTTTTTTGGTGTAATTTCGAGTGTATACATGCATAATTATGTAAATATTTAGACCTAATCATGAGCAGCTGCAAAAAATGCAACTTTTTACTATGGAATAATATTTCCTAAAATGGGCCTATATAATTGAGTAGCATTGAACGCAATGAACACAATTTAATTCACTGTTTAAATAATAATCCTTTGGTTCTTTATTTGCACGGTTTGGCTGGTTACATTACTTAAAGGCTAAAGCTCCTATTTGTAAAAAGTTTGTCATGTTTAATTGTTTTCTCTAGTTAAGCACAACATACATCAAAAACGGGATTCCGTCTACCAATGCTGGTCTTAATCAATGATTTGTGAGAAAAATTTTATTCATTCCTCGAACAGAAACATAGGGCAGTTAGGGGCTTCAATGTTTAGTCACAGCTATAATTAGAGACTGCGTGAGTCATGTTAAATGCCAACACATTAATTTAAAAATGATGTTTTAATTCAATATCCAACATTATATAAGCACAGTCGAGTTTGTTCCATCTACCACATTTGAAAATATCAACATATTCTAATTAAAACGATGTATGCTGTTGTGGGCTGACGTTTCTAAACCAAACTTGAATGCATATACAACTACAAGTATGCACGCGCTAAAGTTGTTAAATGTGCTAACGTAACTGAGACAAAACATTGAACTGGGTTGGGGGGAGACATCGATTTTCAATACATCAGTTGTGGGGTATTAGTCCCAACACATTTGAAAATAATTGATGATGAATTCTAGTTAATTTAAAAGATGACCAAGACTGCCTTTATTGATATAACTTCTTTTTGG